ATTCAGTGTGTACAAAAACACTGTACTAACACACAGTACATAGTCAAGGACTATGCTGCTGAATGTTATAAACTACTCACAAACTTAAGACAAAGACAGTCTTGGACTTATACGCCTCCATTATCACGTTAGCTTTTATAAAAAGTTGGCTGGTCCTAAAAGTATGCAGCAAACAGCTGAACCAAGCAGATTAAAATTAATGCATAATAGTGCAGACTATGAAAATGTGTGACTAAACATGCAAATGGTGAGCCTTCAAGATGCCACATCAAGGCTAAATGACTAATGACTTTATGACTAATTTCATACCATACGATCCATAAGAATTATCTTCAGATTTCTGCTGCTTATGGGAATTTACATATTTCCCTCCTCAATGGGAATATTATTCATCAAATAAGTCCTTATCTCAACCTAGAAATCTATTAAGAGACTATGTCTTCAATTTTCTCCTTTTACATATATGTGGGGGAGTGGGTGGGCATTATCTTAGGAAATTATCAATAACCCTAACGCGAAATGTTGACACTTATGCTAGTTTAGAAGTTCCTTGACTTACCTATTTAAATTAAAAGTAAACTTTTTCTGTCTTTTTGAAAAAGCTAGGGTGGGGTAGGGAAGAATTATTTTACTCTGAAACATGTAAATGATTAATTACAACTTTACGTTAATATTAGGCAATAAATAGGAAACACCATTCTTTAGGGAAAAAAAATAAGGCTGGGAGAAAACTACAGAGAACATGAGCTTAGAAATCAAGGCTATGAATTTGGAAGCTAATTCCAGTTATATTCATTAGCTATAGGACTTTGGACAAATTACCTATCTTTTGATTCTGTTTATTCATCATAAAAATCAGCATAATTTCTACCTTGAAAAGATTTTTCTGAGGATGAGTGGATACTTAATGTTCAAGAGAAGTTATTTCATGTTTTCACGACCTCTACTCACAAGTAAGAGAAACTGGTCACTAAAAGATCCCAACTTATTCTGCTTTTAAGGTATAACCATACTGGGAATCTTGAGGGTATTACAGTTAACGGCCTTCAGTCTTTCTGAGGTCATGAAGCATTCTGAATGTTGGGAAAAGGAAGGATAGCAGACATGTATAACTTGCTGCATACAATTTCAATAAGTTCATGGACTCCTTGAAGACTCTATGAAACTAAAAGAAAATTTTAAATCCCAAAAAATTAATGCCATGTATCTGACTTACTTCCACCTTAAAAATATACATATGTAAATTTAAAAAGATTAAATAATCCTTCCCAGTTAAAAGTGGAAAGGAAGCAAAAGCTCCACTGACTTGTATTCAATCACAGGTGCTCCTGGCAGCTTCTACTTTGTCACCTTTGTCACCATAGGAACTTTCAGGAAGTCTTCTTTCCTCTTTACCATGGCTTGCTCAAAATCAAACCATGAATGGCTTTAAGAAAAAAAAAAAAAGTCTAACCCTAGTTTCCAAATTAGTGATTTAATAAGGCAAGCTCATTTATTATTTAAATCTGAAGATGACTTTATGAGTCATTCAAACTTCTCCTTACACTTCAATTACTTTCAAAAGATAAACTATTGAAAATGCTGCCTATATGAAATAGTTTAAAAAAAAATTTAGAATCTAATAAATAATTCATCCTAGCTCTTGTCAATATGCATATATTCAAACGTATTAGGCAAACAGTAGGTAGGAAATGAGACTTATTTAATGTTTATATTAATATATGGTAACTGTTCAATAAAAATTTACTGAACATATAACCTGAATTCCTATAACAGGAATGAGAATGAAGACAACTAAATATTAATTACAAGTAGCATACTGCTTGACACATAACAGATTTTAAAAAAATAATCTGCCAGATGAGCAAACCAATGAATGACTAAATGACTGACCAAATAACAAAAGAAAAACAATGACTAAAACTTTTAGACAATCCATATTCCAAATTTTCTGCTACATTAACAAGCCAGACACTCCAGGTTTTTAGCTAAGTAAATGTGAAGTTAAGGAAAAACTATCAAAGACAATGTAAAGGCTTACAGCTTGACATAAATATGGATGCTAAGAAGCTATATTTAATGAATTACTTGAACAAAATCATACTGTTTATTGCTTTGATTCTTAATTGTTGAAACAAAAACCTGACTCAAACCTGCTGGTATGCAACAAAGTTCAAGACAGACAAACTCCAAAAAACAATTAATTCAAAAAAATGTACACATTTGACTATGCAGTTTTCCAGATTTCAATACAATCAAAATACCAAATAGGAATGAAAATGTAGAAACGAAAGTCCAGAGTCAATATAGTTTATTTTAATGGCTTTGTTTTTTTAAGCAAAGCCACATAACAAAGTTAAAAAAAAAAAATAGAATACCATAGTTGAATAAAGAAATTATCTACATTTACCCATTTGGTGCCTAAAAGTTGAAAGAGCAACCTCCACATTGGAGAAGTTGAAAAAGTCAAGATGGGAGCTAAATAAGTCAGAAAATCCAGACTGGGTAACAAATTTGGGTATCTAACTGCTAGGTTATATATTCCTTGAGATATTATATCTCATTCAGACACATAGGCAACATATAAAAGTGGTTAAGAATTTTGGGGGGGTATACCGGAATCATCTTGCAAATATGATACTTAGGCCAGTTACTTAAACCATCTTTGCTTCTGTGTCACCTTATCTAAAATGCAAAGAATGATACACCTACCTCAAAAGATTTACATGAGATGACACGTATTTGTAAAACCTGGCACCTAGTTAATTGCTTAGTAGCAGTATTCCCAGTGGGACTGGAATTTACTACTGGGATCAAACATATATGTTATACAGTAAATATCTGTTCAATTAATGAAAAAGAAAATTCCATTAAGAAATCTGGAATGACTGGATGGTCGTACAGATAGACTAGAAAATAAAGATTCAGTTTTCTGGAACATGTTCATTCTGACAAAACAGGAATGACTTTAGAATTTCATTAAAAAATACTAAGTGCTACCACTCTGTTATACTATGGTGCCATAAGAAATGGTGAGTTGTATGACAAGAGAGCCTTTAAAAGAGAATTGAAGGAGGTTTCTCTCAGTACCTAACCATAATTTGGAAGGTAGAAGAAGCTGAGAGAATCAATCATATTCTGATGTAATCACCTATCCTACAAATCGATAGCACCCTAGGAAGAGCAGACCAATCTACATAGGATATTTTGTCTCCCTGACTTCACCAAGATAATGAACGGTGAAATATGAACGGTGAAACATTAAGACAGGTATCCTTGACAGGGAACTGTGGGGTGATGGACCAATCCATTATCTTGTTTTGTGTGGTGTTTACTTAAGTATATACAATGCCAAAACTCGTAAAATTAAGCATGTAAGAATTGTGCATTTCATTCTATGCTAGTTTTACCATTAAAAACTGGTTCATTTAAAAAGCGCTCCCTGCTTTTCTCCCTGGAAAATGTAATAATTTACTAATAGTACAATCAAATCTATATTAACTATAAAATTAACTATAGGATGATGTCACCCAACTAAAAATATTTTGGATAAGGTATTCTTTTAACTTTTCAGTGATAGATGATGTAAAAGTAATTCTTTGAGATCACAGACTACTAAAATTCCTTCTGTTCTAATTTTTGCAGAATCTAGGAATGAACATGCACCGTTTAGCCACATTTCTTTCACTTGTTGGTCAAAACTTTATGTTTGAGAGGATTTTCAGTGGAAAATTGCTTGTTTGTATCACTGGTTGTCTCGTGTTACGTTTGGAGGAAAAGGGCTTGGGAGAAAAATACGACAGATATTACAGTGTTCAACTAGAAATCCCAAAACCAGGATTCTAGCTCTAGGATTAAAATGTACAGGGCAACTTTGGACACAGCACTTGAATATTCTGTGCTTGTGATATTCTGCTATCACAGGGCTGTCATAGGATAAAGTGTATTAATTTGTGGAAATACTTTGAAAAGTCAAAGCAATGTATTATTCTAACGTGGCATTGGTGACATGATACCATAGACATAGTCAAGCCCCAAACTTAATCCTGACAGTTATAGGTTCTTGGAAAATCCCCATATACATCTCCCTTGAACTTGAATAGAATGTTCAAGAGGGTGGAAACAGGTAGGTTATCCCCTCTCTCTAAAAAAGGGGGTAAGAGGGTGATGTGTTTTCCACTATTGAACTTCCATAATTCTACATTTCTGGAATGTATCTTCCAAAAGATTTGATATAATCTGGTAAATATTGAAAGAGGAGTGGGGAATAAGGCCCAGATTAAGATAGATTCTTCCTGTCCCTAGTGTTGTCAACAATCAATGAGGAGATAAATTGCTCCTGGAGTACAGGAAGCTTGACTTCTAAAATATTGTTAAACAAGCAATCAGCAAACATTTACTGTATTCTTTAACAAATCTTTGGCACACACCCAAGAGCTCCCTCAAACTGCGTGCATCCCAGGAACGAGTGAGAGTAAGGCCTAGATGTCTTCAGATCATCCATCACAGCTCTCTCCCGCCTCCATTCCAGGTCCAGCAGAGTGGCCTCGGGCAATCACACCCTTCCCTGACCTCCCCCTCCCCAGGGCCGCCAGCCTCACCAGCTGTTCCCGGCTGCTGGAGCTCCGATCGGTTGGCGCCCGGCGGCCCCGAACATTAACGACACCCAGGAGCCTGGCCTCGAGGCTCAGGCCCGTGACCAGACTCCAACTACTACAGCACCGGCGATTTCCAAAGAGCAGTTCAGCATTTTGAGATGAGCTTCCGGAAGCCGACAGGAGGCGGAAACCGGATGCCCGGAGCAACCATTAGTTCTCCGCGTCTACTGCTTTCCGTTCCTATAATCCCCTCTTCCTACTCGCAATAGAGACAGAGACAAATAAATTAAACTTTTTGTGCTACACAGAGATTTCTTAATTCTCTTTTAGTACTCTTAAAGTGGAAGTAGCGTGAGAGGAAAGAGGCGTGAACAAAAAGTCGGACCCCGGGAATGAGCTATGGTTTAGCCCAGTTACCATGGAGACCGGTAGTAACACCAGTTGTAAACCCAAGGCCGAAAGACCATGGCCACGTTAGCCCGGCTGCAAGCTAGGTCGTCGACTGTAGGAAATCAGTACTACTTTAGGAACAGGTAAGTCAGGAAGAGAAAGATCGCGTAAAGGGCAGGCGTGACATTATACCAGTTGTTCCTCAGCGGGAGTTTCCAATTAACGATTTCCCTGATTCATTAAGTAGTACCCAATTCTTCCCTTAATGGGCTGCAAACAGAATCGGGAGTTTCTGTTACCATACAACGAAATTCTAAATAGAGAGGGGCCATAGATACTCGATGTGAGATGATTTAGAAAAACTCCCAGCATAGATAAAATTGTAAAGTGCTTTTTCTCTTCGACATCACCACTCTGTTAATTTCATGAAACCTTTGTTCTCCGGGTTCAAGGTTCAATACCTGACTGGGGGTCACCTGGCTCACTAGCCCAATGAGCTGACTGTTTCCCATCTACCTAGGGATTTGAGCCTCCATTATTTTACAAACATCACTGAACCCAATTGTTCTATGACTCATTTGCCTTTCTAAAATGAACGTATCGGCCGGGCGTGGTTGCTCACGCCTGTACTCCTAAAACTTTGGGAGGCCGAGGCGGGCGAATCACCTGAGGCCAGGAGTTCGAGACCAACCAGACCAACATGGTGGAACCCCGTCTCTACTAAAAATATAAAAATTAGCCGGGCACTGTGGCTCATGCCTGTCATCCCAGATAGTTGGGAAGCTGAGGCAGGAGAATCGCTTGAACCTGGGAAGCGGAGGTTGCAGTGACCTGACATTGTACCACTGCACTCCAGCCTGGTTGACAAATTAAGACCCTGTCTCGAAATAAAATAAAATAAAATAAAATAAGAAATAAAATGAAAGTGTCTAAACCATTCTGACACAGTAACTAGTACCAAATATTAATTAATAGACAACGGGTAAGAAAACCACTAGCAGTCTTCCTCATTTCCCTACACCCAAACTTCTTGCCTAGGAAGAGTTTCATTTTAAAGAAGCATTGTCCCAGGAGTTTTTGTAACTTAAGAGAAACTACAAAAAAAGTGAATTAGACTATTATGGAATACAGTGATATGACAGACCAATGGAAAATGTTATCAATGAGATAGGGTCTTGCTGAGCTGTTTTTATTCTAACGTTTATCTCACCTACCACATCATTATTTCACAACGTACCTCTCTTACAGCACTGATCACAATTCAATTTTACATTCTTTTATGAGATAATATCTATCTCCCCTCTTAAACTAGTAGTAGAGACAGTGTCTCTTATTTTGCTCACCAGTATTTTTGTCTGCAATGTCTATGATAGCTCCATACAAGTAATAGTAACACAATAATTGTTGAAGACTCACATTAATGAATCGTTCAAAAAATCACTAGCCCTGGTTTAAGTAAACGTACTAACAATAGCTAAACATAGAACTTATCTATTTATTTAGAGTATGTGGCAGGTGCTGTATTTATGACATATATAAATGAAATAAGCCACATCCATCATGATGTTCACACTCTAGTATGGAATATAGGCTTTTTAAAAATAATTACAATACTAGCTGGGCTTGGTGGTTCATGCCTATGATCCCAGCACTTTGGGAGGCTGAGGCAGATGGATCGCTTGAGGGCAGGAGTTCGAGACCAGTCTGGCCAACATGACAAAACCCTGTCTCTACTAAAAATACAGAAATTAGCCAGGCATGGTGGCGCATGCCTATAGTCACAGCTACCCTGGAAGCTGAGTCAAGAGAATCCGTTGAACCCGGGAGGCAGAAGTTGTAGTGAGTCGAGAATAGAGACTCAGGCCTGTAATCCCAGCACGTTGGGAGGCCAAGGCAGATGGATGGCCTGAGGTCAGTTATGAATTATCAGAGCCAACTAATCTAACTCTAAAACCTATGCTGTTCACTATCACTAAACAAAATTTTCTTCCCATTAAGCTGATTTAATTAAATTGCAACAAGCATCAAGATCCAGAGGTCCAAATGGCTTGAGAATACTGTCCCAAATCCATTAACATGTAGGGAACAGAGTTGTGGGAAACAATTTAAAGTCTCCTTGGTTTCTTTCGATGTCTTCTGTTTTGGTAACAAGGTAGGGACAAAAATGCTTCTTCCTAATGGCTAGCGTCAGAATAAGGCTTAAATTGAAAGATGACTTTGTTGAGAAAATATATTCCTAAGTGGTTAGATTAGTATCTGAGTCCTGCAAGGCCTGGAAGTCCAATGTGGAAAAGAGAAGCTCCTCTGCCTAACAAAGAGAAAGGATCTGGAACTCCAAGAAGTGAGCAGCAAATACAGGAGGAGATTTTGAACTACAAAGAGTAGGAGGAGCGTGGGTTGCCCGACTGACGTAATACTCTGGAAAGTTGCTCCCACAGGGAATGTTTGGTGTGTGTTTATGTTTTGATCTGGTCCATCAAAGAGGCTGAGTATTTTGTCCCGGATATAAGGTGAGCAAAAGATAGTAGGCCATTGTTGTAACTGCCCAATGGGTTCACCTTGCCCGTTGCCTAGACAGAGCCAATTTATCAAGACAGGAATTGCAATAGAGAAAGAACAATTCACACAGAGCCAGCTGTACGGGAGACAAGAGTTTTATTGTTACTCAAATCTGTCTCCCTGAGCATTAGGGGATCAGTTTTTAAGGATGATTTGGTGGGTTAGGGTGAGGCCAGTGAGTCAGGAGTGCTGATTGGTTGGGTTGGAGATGAAATCATAGAGGGTGGAACCTGTCTTCTTGCACTGAGTCAGTTCCGGGGTGGGGGCCACAAGGTCAAAGCCAGTTTATCAATGAGCCAATTTATCAGTCTGGGTGGTTCCAGCTGATCCAACAAATGCAGCATCTGCCAAATATCTATAGCACTGATCTTAGATTTTCCAATACTGATGTTATCCCAAGGAGCAATTTAGGGAGAGTCAGAATCTTGTAACCTCCTCTGTGACTCCCAAACCATAATTTCTAATCTTTTAATTAATTTGTTATTCCCACAACGGCAGTCTAGTCCCCTGGCAAGAAGGGGGTTTACCTTGGGAAAGGCCTGTTATCATCTTTGTTTTAAACTATAAACTAAGTTCCTCGCAAAGCTAGTTCAGCCTATGTCCAGGAATGAACGAGGAGAGCTTGGAGGTTAGAAGCAAGATGGAGTTGGTTAGGTAAGCTCTCTTTCACTGTCTTGTTACAGTTTTGCAGTGGCAGTTCCGTTGTCACTTGACAGAGTATTGGCCTTTTTGTTATTGTTGTTGTTGTTGTTTTAACTTTCTCTGGTAATTCTTAGCTTCATTTCTGTTCTTCCGAACTATGAGATTTTCTTTGTGACTTATTGGTAATTTATACTACACACTATACTGCACTGTGTGGAGAGAAGAGTTCAGTATATGTTTATTGATCATATTGTTCATTTTCCCCATATTCTTATTTAAATTTCATCTAATCTGTCAAATTCTAATAGGAATAAGGTAATGTTCCTCTTCCACTGTGTTTCTATAGTGTGGGTGAACCCAAAGTATCTGAGACAGGCTTCAGTCAATTCAGAAAGTTTATTTTGCCAAGGTTAAGGATGCACCCATGACACAGCCTCAGGAAGTCCTGATGTCATGTACCTAAGACAGTCCGGGTACAGCTTGCTTTTATGCATTTTATGGAGACATAATACATCAATCAATACATGTGAAGTTTATATTGGTTCCACAATGCGGGGGCCTTTTAGGTCTTAGGTAGGTTTAAAAATTTTCTGGCCGGGCATGGTGGCTCACGCCTGTAATCCCAGCACTTTGGGAGGCTGAGGTGGGTGGATCACAGGAGTTCCAAATCAGCCTAGCCAACATGGCAAAACCCTGTCTCTACTAAAAATACAAAAATTAGCCGGGGCTGGTGGTGCGCCCCTGTAATCCCAGCTACTCGGGAGGCTGAGGCAGGAGAATCACTTGAACCCAGGAGGCAGAGATTGCAGTGAGCCAAGGTCGCACCATTGCACTCCAGCTTGGGCAACAGAGCAAGACTGAAATTCTGATTGGCATGTAATTGAGTGAGTTATTATCAGTAGAAAGAAATGAGGAATGTCTGGGTTATGATAAGGGATTGGGGAGACCTAGGTTTTATCGTTTTATCATGCAGATGAAGTCTCCAAGTTGCAAGCTTTAAAAAGAATAGACTGAGGCCAGGTGCAGTGCCTCAGGCTTGTAATCCTAGCACTTTGGGAGGTCAAGGCGGACAGATTACGAGGTCAGGAATTCGAGACCAGCCTGGCCAACATGGTGAAACTCCGTCTCTACTAAAAATACAAAAAATAGCTGCATGTGGTGGGGGTGCTTGTAATCCCAGCTAATCGGGAGGCTGAGGCAGGAGAATCACTTGAACCCTAGAGGTGGAGATTGCAGTAAGCCGAGACCGTGCCACTGCACTCCAGCCTGGCAACAGAACGAGACTCTGTCTCAAAAAAAAAAAAAAAAAAAAAAGGGTGTTTTCAGCAGAGGAGTGACATGATGTGACTTCTGTCTATAAAAACAATAAATAAGAAAGTAACCTTTGACTTATTATTATTATCATCATTTTTAGACAGAGTCTCGCTCTGTTGCCCAGGCTGGAGTGCAGTTGCGTGATCTCAGCTCACTGCACCTCTGCCTCCCAGGTTCAAGAGATTCTCCTGCTTCAGATTCCTGAGTAGGGGGGATTACAGGCACCTGCCACCACACCCAGCTAATTTTTTTTTTTCTTTTTAGCATTTTTAGTGAAGATGAGTTTTCACCATGTTGGCTAGGCTGGTCTTGAACTCCTGGGCTCAAGCCATCTGCCCATCTCGGCATCCCAAAGTGCTGGGATTACAGGCGTGAGCCACGGGGACCAGCCCCTTTGACTTGTTTTTAAGTTGGATAAAGCATTTTGCTTTTGTTTTTCCCATTTCTACTTTCTTCCTCCACTTCCATCTTTTAACTTTTTGGGGCCAGTTTTTGCTTAACAAAATTTAAATCAAATCTGCTTGTGTCAATGAAAAAAGTAAATAACACTTAAAAAATTTTAAAACAGGTACGTTTTCTAACAACATGTAAGCAGAAATCAGTCAGATATATATAAAATCTTTTTTAA